TCCGAATTCACGAAATGCAGCAACATTACCAAGCCAGGAGTCATTTCTTCTCTTCAAGCTGAAGGATTTGACACTGATCTCCCTTTGAGTGGCTGACTCAAACACTAATCCTGACGCAAATGCAGCTAGGATTTCTCCAGAGGAGCAGCACTGGGCACTGCACGCTGCCGGACACCGCTTGGTGACGAGTCTCTCTTGCTCCTCCCCTTCCCCTTTGTTTCATCATCTGAGATATTTCCCTCATCTCCTTCTTGCTCTTCATACCTATTTTTCAGCAGATGAGCTGACTCTGGACCTTTTTTACCTCAAGGAGAAAGGAAAAATACAGAAATAAGTACCATTCCCAAGTAAAATCCACTTTTTTTAACATCACAGGCAAGCACTGAGGGCTCCACTCAATTTTCTCTCGCTGCCCATGTGGAATTTCATGTCTTGCAGGTAGGAAAATGCTCTCAAAATTTTTTCTATCCCTAAAACCAGTTTTAAATAGAAAATCCCAACCCACTACAAACCCAAAGGGCGAGGCATCAACCCCAAATGCAAAGTTCTACGCTCCACGTCACATCCTGCAGACACCAGGATTTCTTTCATATTTTCTATCAATGAGATTTACCAAAGAGGCTTGACTGAATTAGGAGTTTGCTGTGGGCTTACTTGACTGAGGCTGGAACTGTGACAGTTTGTGCCTTTTGGAGGGACAGATGCAATCTGCCAGGAACACCATCATCTGCAACCAAAGAAACCCAAGGTGAAATTCCCAAACATTCTGCACATTGGAATCGTTTAGGCTGGAGAAGACTTTTAAGATCAAGTCTTACCATTTATCCTCAGGTGGATCCTATCCAGCCCCACACCTGGTTGTGACCATTTTCCCTTGGATTATGGGGGTTCCATCCTGCTCCCCCATCCCTGTGTTCCAGCTCAGGGTACCCCAAAACCCCACCCCAAAACAGAGGTGGAGGCAGCACGAGCGTAACAAAGCCCCAGTCAGCCCCAAAGATTTCACTTACAAGTCCCAGGACCATTCCTAAGAACAGAGTTGCCAATCCAAACACAGCATAGGAGCCCCAGACTGGTATTCCGAGGTTTTCTGTTAAATAGCCATGGCCATGCTGGAACAGAAGACAAGAGAATCATTTCAGGAAGAGCTGAATTTCATACTGAGGATAAAATGAAGTAGAGACAAAAGCAAATACCCTGATCCACATGGACAACTTGAACAACGCTGACATGCTGCTCATCCTGAAACAAAGCAGAGGAGAGGAACTGAGAACACTTTAAAATCAGCCTCAAGCCTGTGTGAAACAACCTCAGCTCATACACAGACAGCTATAAATCCCCAAATTTCTTTAACTTGCATCTGCTGACACATGAATTTTAAGTTCTGCTCTATCTTGATCAATGGTCTGTAGGAAGCCAGCTGGAACTCCAGTCAAGATATTAAGAAAGAGACATCAGGAGGTTTTATTAAAACAAAAAATTAAACTATTCTATCAGATAAAAAAAAATCAGATTATAAGACCTGAGAGATCTTCAGACACTTAAGTTTGGTGTCTGAACACAAAAAATAAGAGAGAAGTTGTTAATGCTAAGTTCATATGCAGTTTCACGCATTCCTTGGTGTGGGATAATACTTTGTAAGAGAACCAGCCTCACAGCCAGGAATTCCTTCCATATATCAAACCTAAATTTCCCTTCTGACACTTTGAACCCATTCCCTTTTTTCCTGTCAGCTCCTGATGGAGAATCCCTCTGTGATTTCCTTGTAGACCCCTCCAGACAGTGGAAGAAACTTCCTGGAATTTAACTGGGCAAAACCACCTCAGTGCCACAGAAACCAAACAACTTCAAGGGTCAGCAGGGCACCCACAGAAGTTTAGGAAACAATGCAGTCACCAGCAACCTCCTCAAGCAAACCTTGCTGGGGACATCACTGCTATGGTGACAATGCTCAGGTCACCTCTGCTATGGTGACAACCCTCCCACAGCTGAGGAAGAATTAGGACACCCACCCACCCACCAAGTTCACACAGCTCCTGCCCACACAGAGCCGGGAACAGGGAGCAGGACACACCTCAGGACATCTGATAATAAATTCTTACAAAAAAACAACCCAAAACTTACAGGAAAGAGGAAGGACCAAACCAGGAGGACACTGGTTCAATGGATTTCCATTCCTTGTCACTGATGAAATTAATGAAGGCAGCTTTAGTCCTTGATCCCTGGTATCTCCTGAATTCTCCATCTTTGCAGCTGTAAAACAACAACAACAAAATCCTTTTATTTTGTATGATCCAAGCACCAAGTGCAGCACTTTTTTCCATCCAACAGATCCCCTCCCATCACCTTGTCTATTTTTCACACATTCAACTTTTCAGTGGTAATTTTTTTAGCTGATATTGCCTCTAAAAAATATTTTCCAAACACCTGGACTAACTCCAAGTTATTTCCAGAACACTGACTCCACGAATACCTTGGATAGCTTTAAGCTGTGATTCCATATTAAAAAAAAAAATAGAAAAGAAAGATAATGATCTTCCTAAAGCCCTTGCCACACACCTGCACTGAAGATCAACCTACAGAGAAACGATTGCAAAACAGAAACACCCATGAAAAGGCAGAATAAATAAGGCCTGAAGGGAAAGGAAAAGAAATCATCAGGCAGCTCAAGGTCACAGTGGGTGAGACAGTGGCTGTGTCAGTGAAAAGCAGCTCCCATTCTTAAAGAGCATATTAAATCTCATTTATTTGTCCTAAAAAAAAGAGGGAAAAAATGCCCACTCTCACCCCCAAAAAGCCCTGCTGCCATGCAGACTTACTGATAGATGGTAGGGAGGGCTGTGATGATAAATCGTCCACTTAACCCTGTAAGAAAAGTTATTTTGAGAGAATTTTGAGTATTTTGATGGAAAAAAAAAAAAAAGGCAAGAAATGCTGCAACACCCCAGAATACAATGTCAGGCCTAGGTATCGCTCTTTCAATGCAATCCAACACACCCTTGTGCATGTCAAAGCAGCACACTCTAAAAAAAGGTCCATGGACAAAGAGCAAGTAAGTTTATCCATGGGGAAAACGAGATATCAGGGATAACTGCTCTGTTCTGGCTGTAGCTCTTCAGAGGGAGACACTCTCCTTTCACACACATGACCTGCAGCCTCCAGAAACCCTGAAGAAAATAATCCAAGTGAAGCAAGTTTCAAAAGTAAAGTGACTCTGAAGAAAGAGATCAGCACGGGGAAAGCCAGGTTTGCAAATCCCACACAGACTAAAGACTTTCAGGAGAGGGAGAGTAACCCAAGGAAGGACTGGAATAGCAAGGGTGAAACATTGTTTTTAGCTTAAAAACTGTGGCCAAAAATCTCCTTGAAATCCTGCTCTGGAGAAAACCTCTAATTCTTTTTCTCTATTATAGTCTATCCATTTTATTTATTTAATGATATTTATTTTATCTACTAGCTGACAGTCTCCTCCCTATGAGGAGAGCTGGAGGTTCCTGTGTGGTTCCCAGAGAAGCTGTGGCTGCCCCTGGATCCCTGCAATGTCCAAGGCCAGGCTGGACAGGGCTTGGAGCCACCTGGGATAATGGAAGGTGTGGAAGGGGGTGGAATGGGCTGATCTTTAAAGTCCCTCCCAACCAAAACATTCTGGGATTCCATTAAGCAATATTAGGGCGTTTAGTCACACAGCAATGTGTGTTTGGTATGGACGATTAAAACGCTTTTATTTATCCTTATTAATTCTGCTTGCCTCCCACAAACACACATTGGAGATGAGCATCCCCCAAATCCCTCAGCTCCCCAAATCCCAGAGGGTTCAGGAGCCCTTTCCAGCCCCTCTCACCCGGCTGCTCCGTGACATCCACTTTGGCCACGTTCACCCCCAGGTCCTCTCCCCACTCGGCGAACTTCTCCCACTCGGGCTGCAGGTTCTCGCAGGCGGGACACCAGGGCGCGTAGCTGTGGGAGCAGCACAGCGCTGTCACCACACACCCCACACGAACCCCTCCCGGGCAGCCCGAGCGCGCCTCTCCCCACTCACAACTCCACCATCCACTCGTCCTGCAGCAGCTCCTGCCACATCCCGTCCGACAGCACCTTCACGGGGCTCGGCTTGCCCCGGGCGGCGGCCGCCAGCGCCAGGCACAGCAGAGCGCAGAGCGGAGCCCTCAGCTGCGGAGCCCTCAGCGGCGCCGCCATTTTGCCCCCCCCTCCTCCGTCCCCCTCCCCTTCCGCCTTCCCGCCGCGTCATGGCCGGGCCCGCCCTCAGGGCACCGCGGGGAGGCGGGATCGGGGAATCCTGGAATGGTTGGCATTGGAAGGGGTTTAAAATCCCGCTTCGTTCCACCCCTTGCCGTGGGCAGGCGCCGCTTGTGCGGGGCGCTCCGAGGTTCGTCTAGCCTGGCCTTGGACGCTCCCAGGGATCAGGCACCCACGGGTGGTTGGGCAGCTTGTGCCAGGGCCTCACCACTCTCACAGGGAAGGATTTCTTCCATATATCCTAAATTTCCCTTTTTTCATTTTGCACTTATTGCTGCTTACCACAGAATCGCTGAGGTTGGGAAAGGGCTCCGTGGTCATTGAGCCCAAGCTGTGCCCGATGGCCGCCTTGTCACCCAGCCCGGAGCACTGAGAGCCGCATCTAGGGATGGGGGCTCTACCATTCCCTGATCAGCCCCTTCTCATGCTTGGCAACCCTTCCTTATTCCAACCAAATTCTTCCTTATATTCAACTTAAGCCTACTTTGGTTCAACTTTGGCCGTTCCCTCTCCTCCTGTCCCTGTTCCCTGGCAGCAGAGCCCGACCCCCCCGGCTGTCCCCTCCTGCCAGGGACTTGTGCAGAGCCACAGGGGCCCCCTGAGCCTCCTTTGCTCCAGGCTCAGCCCCTTCCCAGCTCCCTCAGCAATTCTTCAGCCCCTTCCCAGCTCCCTCAGCAATTCTCCAGCCCCTTCCCAGCTCCCTCAGCAATTCTCCANGTCACCATGGGATGGGCACAGGGAGCAGAGTTCCCAGTGGGAAATCCCGCTGCCAAGAAGTCACTGGCTGCTGTCATTATTTTATTTTTGCTTGGCGGTCTCTAGAACAAAGCTCCAATTGACCCTTTTCCCTTGAGACCACCGCTCCCAGGAGCTCTCCCAGCCCTGGACAAGCTTCTCTCCTCCTCCAAACAGGTGGTTGCCAAGAGGGGCAAGGATTACATCCTGAAGCACGTCCCCAACATGCACAAGGACCAGTTTGCCCTGACGGCCTCAGAAGCCCACCTCAAGTACATCAAGGAGGCCGTCAAGCTGGACGACGTGGCCGTGCACTACTACAGGCTGTACAAGGTGAGCCCTGGCCCTGTGGCTGTTGGGATCTCGATTTTGGGAATGCCTTCCCTGAGAAATCCAGGCTGGGTTTTTCTCCTGGGAACAAAGGGGTTTGTTTGCTGGGAGAGCGTGAGGTGTTTTGATGGAATCTCAGAATGGTTTGGGTTGGAAAGGACCTTAAAGTTCCACCAGTTCCACCCTGTGCCATGGGCAGGGACACCTTCCACCATCCCAGGGTGCTCCAACCTGGCCTTGGATGCTTGCAGGGATCCAGGGGCAGCCACAGCTTCAGCCCCACCACCTTCACAGGGATAATTTCTTCCTCACCTCTGATCTTAATCTCTTCTCTTTTGGTTTAAAAGCATTCCCCCTTATCCTGTCGCTCTCTGCCTGTGCCCAAAGTCCTTTTCCATTTTTAATTTGGCACATTAATCATAGAATGATGACTGGGGATGACTGTGGGAGGATTCCTGGGCTGAGGTGGAGCAGATTTATCAACTTCATGCTGCAAATTGTGTATTTTAAAGCATTTTATTGCCCTTAGGACAAAAGGGAAGTGGAGGCCTCCCTGACTCTGGGGCTGACAACACGGGGCATCCAGATTTTCCAGGTAGGTGACAGAAGGAAGGTGATGGCTCAGCTCAGCTCCCTGCCCTTACCAGGATCCTCAGCCATGGCTCCCTCTCCTCTTCTTGCAGAACCTGGATGAGGAAAAGCAGCTGCTCTACGACTTCCCGTGGACAAACGTGGGGAAACTGGTTTTTGTGGTGAGTGCCATCATCTCCACCTGGAGCACGGCTTCCAGCTCCGGGGTCCTCAGCACAGCAGGGATATGGAGCTGTTGGAGCAGGTCCACAGAAAGCCTTGGAGATGCTCTATGGGCTGGAGCCCCATTTCCTATGGAGCCAGGCTGGGAGAGCTGGGAATGTTCACCTGGAGAGGAGAAGGATCCAGGGAGAGCTCAGAGCCCCTTGCAGGGCCTGAAGGGGCTCCAGGAGAGCTGGAGAGGGACTGGGGACAAGGGATGGAGGGACAGGACCCAGGGAATGGCTCCCAGTGCCAGAGGGCAGGGATGGATGGGAGATTGGGAATTCCTGGATGTGAAGGTGGTGAGGCCCTGGCACAGGGTGCCCAGAGCAGCTATGGCTGCCCCTGGATCCCTGGAAGT